TTCTTTAGCCATCAGCGCCCGGTGCAGTCTTTCATTGAACTCTATCAGTTCACCATGCATTTCTGCCACCTGAAAAAGAAGACAACAAAAGAGGCTGGATAAAAAGGCACCAGAAAGGAACCAGAAATATTAAGGCTAACATGCTGGATAACTCAGTGATGTAGGTATCTGTCTGTGGAGTCGTGGAGGACGTGGTGGCACTGCGAGGACGTGGTGGCGCTGCGGGCTAAACCGCAGAACCCTGTGCTGCAGGGTCAGAAGACCAAGCAGTCGTAAGATCGAATCCACGCGACGGAGTGAGCTCCCGTCGCTTGTCCCAGCTCCCGCCAACCTAGCGGTTCGAAAGCATGCAAATGCAAGTAGATAAATAGGGACCACCTCGGTGGGAAGGTAACAGCGTTCCGTGTCTAAGTCGCACTGGCCATGTGACCACGGAAGATTGTCTTTGGACCACCGCTGGCTCTATGGCTTGGAAACGGGGATGAGCACCGCCCCCTAGAGTCGAACACGACTGGACAAAAATTGTCAAGGGGAACCTTTACCTTTACCTTTACAGTGCCGAAGAGCTGCTTCTAAGGCTAATGTGGATGCATGCTGTTCAATTTTCACTTGCAGAGAACAGGGATCCCTATCTTTTCTAAGGAGCAGCCATATTAGTCTGTGCAAACATATCAGACAAAAAACACACATAAAAACAAAACAAAAAAAACCAACTGAAAACAAGAAACAAACACCTGGCGGCACCTTAAGACCAACTCTTATATTTTAATGTAAGTTTTTGTGGATCAAGTCCACTTCATCAGTCTAAGGAAATGCAGCCATTATTCTTTAAGATGCCACAACCTTTTGGTCTCTACTTTTTCTAGTTTTGTTTTGTTCTTGATCTGATATCCATCTTTTCTCTTTCCTAGTGGCTTTGTATCTGCTCAGACCCAGAAAATAAAAACTCAGAAGTCAAGGATCTACAAAAGGCATTTCTCAGACGACAATACGCATTCAATATGGTAAAAGAACAAATTAACCATACTCAGAAGCAACCTACCCTTACCAAGACCCAGAAGAGAAAATGACCGATACCGCTAGTTGTCACATTCAGCCCACAACGGAGACTACTCACAGACATCATAAACTATCTTCTATATACGGTCTCAACAAGAATACTTCACTCTTCTAAGCTCTTGATAGCAGCCCTACACTTGCGTGCAGACAACCCTGCAAACTCAAGCAACTATTGACACACAACAGACTACACAAGTGACATAGAGATGGGGACTCAACACTAATACAAATCCAGATGCCAGTTGTGTCCCTACATCTAATCTGCCAACACAATTACAGGCCATAGCAATGTCACACATAACATCGGGGCCTGTTTACATGTTTCTCTACTAACATGATCTACAATTTCCTTTATCAACAATGCCCCTCTGCACTCTACATAGGAGAAACAGGACAATCTCTGCACAAAAGGATTGATGGGCACATAGGACAAACAGGACAATCTCTGCACACAAAATGGATTGATGGGTATAAGCCTGACACTAGGAATGGCAATATACAAAAACTTGTTTCAGAACATTTAATTGTACCTGGACACTCTCAGAATGACTTGAAACTCATTGTTTTGGGGGAAAAGACACTAGAAAACAAGACCTGAAGCGAAACAGCTGAGATAGGGTATACACAAATTATGTTGAAGACCCACTTAAAAGAATATTATTCAAGGGTTCTTAGGTTATTACCAAGCATGAAATCTCACACTGATTCACAGTTAGCCACTTGTATCAACAAGGCAATTATTACCTTGTAGACTGATAACTGACATTCACAGCCTGACAAACTATTCTCTTACCAATGAACCACTGTCACATTGTCCATTATCTATATCCCCATCTGGTCATGGGGCCAAGTATAAATGCGACCATTATATAGTCTCACTCTTCCATTTGAGAAAGTGGACCTGATCCATGAAAGCTCACATTAAAATTATTGCAGTTAGTCGTTAAGGTGCCACAATGTTTTAGTCTCTTGGGGGTTTATTTGTCTGATATGGTATGTTTACAGGCATTTTTTAAAATATTGGTTATTTGTGGTAAGTTTCAAGGGCATGAAAATTGCAAATAAAAGTAGCAAATTCCATTAGTTGATTAAAACGGCACTAAATAAATTTTGGTGCAAATTTTACTACGACTGTAAGAAACAAAGATGGCTAGCATCATTAGAAGAAGCACAACGTGAATGGAAGTTACTATTAGCAAGCCAAAAGGCACTGTCGCCCATCACAGATAGATAGCCCATGTAGTAGGATTAGTACAAGATGGCACATCACATGAGGACAAACGAAAAGCAAATTCCTTTCAATCATTATGAAAACTCTTCATTCCACTTAGATTCCCTCCATGTTTCACAACTGAGACACTAGCAAAAATCAGCTTCACATATTCATATTAAATCTACACTGCCATCTCCTAGGGCACACCTTTACTCTAACCCTATCTTTTTTATCACTACTCTGACATCAATTCTGCTAACAGCAATGTCAGCTGACATGAGTGCCCTCTGTCAAAACATGTGAAACATTCCTGTGACTTCTTAGAGTTTACCAGACAATTCCTGTTATTTCTGTTTGAAATTTCAGAAGAGGTTTTGCTCAAAAGCGGAAAGGTACTGGAGGCCCATACAGTGGTGTCCCGCATGATGATGACCCTGCTAAATGACGAATCCGCAGGATAATGACTTTTTTGCGATCGCAAAACAATGTTTCCTACAGGGGATTTTCGTTTGACGATGATTAAGTCTGTGCTTTGCGAACCGTTTGTTCGCAAGATGACGATTTTTCCAGCTGATTGTCGGGTTCCTAAAATGGCTGCCCTGTGTTTTCCGGACCCATGCTTCGCAGGGTAGCCATTTTAACAGCTGATCGGCGCTCGGAAAATGGCTTCCCTATGGGTGATCTTCACTGGACAACGAGGTAATTTCCCCATTGGAACGCATTAAATGGGTTTCAATGCATTCCAATGGGGAAACTGTTTCTGCTGGACGATGTTTTCTCTTAACAGCAATTTCAGGGGAACGAATTATCGTTCTGGTACAGGAAACCACTGTATAGTTCATTTCTAACTGTTTTCGCTGGACGATGTTTTCTCTTAATTTCAGCAATTTCAGGGGAATGAATTATCGTTCTGGTATGGGGCACCACTGTATATAGTTAATTTCTATATGGTGAACAATTTTGTTTCTCTTCAATAGCGCTCTTTCCCTTATTGAACAACAAACCAAAATTCTGTTGGTCTTGGTAACACTTTTATAGCTTCTACTGTAGTAGGAGTGGAGAATCTTGGTCTTCCAGATGTTTGGGGTTGCAACTCCCTCCGGGAGTGAAAAACTGAAAACGCCCTGGGGACCAAAGGTTTTCCCCACCCTTGCAGTATAGTATGGCAAATATCTTTTTCAAAATCCCATTACTGAGATACCATTTCGTTGCTTTTGAAGAAGCTAAAGGACATTAGTGGGATGAGAATCTTTTCTCACCCAAAAGGGAGGATAAATCTTTTAAACAAGTCCCTCATTGGTAAATTATTTTAGAATCAAAGCTGGATTGCCAAAGCTGTTTCAGGAACCCATGTGTCTGAAGAAAATATGAGCATGCTATTAAAATGATGCATTTTAATCAGCCACTCTTAAAACCCCATTAATATTTGAGGTATGCTACGTACTCAGCAGGGGTCCTGGATAATCTGACACATTAAATTTCTATTAAACTCTGAGAGCTAACGTCACCCTATTAAAGCATTACACAGAGAGAAACCATTTGGTTTTACAGCCGATAGACACAAAAGCTATATGTTTTTGTGATGCAATGAATTAGCCATGTCAGTTACTTAGGGTTGTTATTTTTATAAACTAATCTTCCAGTGTAATTTCAGTTCACTGGTTGTGTAACTTCAAGTATAATTGACTATAATGTCCATTCATACATGCACATTCATCATTTAGCAATGGCACCTTCAGATGGCAGCTTGCCCTTGCTCAAGTCTTTGGCTGTGGATGAAATTGGATAGGAAGGCAAACTAGGATTTCGAGAAAAGGCTCGTGGGACTCGTATATGAAAAGGCAGGGGAAGCAGACATGATGATGAAAAATCACATTGTTTATATGAAATTGTGGCCATTTGAATCTTCATTTGCTAGTTCACAAATATGGGTTCTACAACCGCACAGATTTATATGTTCATGACACATGCAAAGCCTTTCCCCTCCCTCATCTTTTATGCCAAAGGTTGAAAATAACTAATTATGAAAAAGTCACATTATGTACACAGCTTCTCTTATCTTGCAGTGTCCTATGACTGTTTATGTTATTCCAATAGTTGGGGTGTGGCCTCACTCAGTGGTAGAGGAGGAATATCACCTGGTTCAAGTGACGGTATATTGCTGCTAATTTTAGAGTTGTTAAATGAATTAAAAGTAACAATTTAATTACACTGGAGAAAAGGAAATCATTGCTATCAGTAAATGATGGCTTTGGAGGAGGAACTTAGATATACAAGTGGTGCCTCGCTAGACGATGATAATCCGTTCCAGTGAAATCGCTGTTTAGCGAAATCATTGTCTAGCGAAAAGCATTTCCCTATTGGAATGTGTTCCAATGGGGAAGAATCGTCGTTGTCTAGCGAAGATCGGCCATAGGAAAGCCGCTTTGCAAACTGCCGATCAGCTGTTTAAATAGCTGTCTTGCGAAGCTTAGGTCCCGAAAACACCTGTTTGCGAGCGCGGAGGGAGCTGTCAAAATCGTCGTCTAGCGAAAATCAGTTAGCAAAGCAGGGACTAAACATTGTCCAGCGAAATTCCCTCATAGGAATCGCTATAGCAATCACAAAAAGTCAATGTCTAGTGAAAAAACTGTCATGCGGGGTAACTGTCTAGCGAGGCACCACTGTAAATGTAACTACTTTCTTTTCAAAAGTAATTTCCCAGGCTCTGCCCAATGAGGATTTCTGACAATCACAACTGCGATGTGCCAGCTCTTACTGACTCGGTTCACCATGGATTATCCATCTGCAACCTTTT